TGGAGCTGGGGGCTGGAGCTGGGGGCTGGAGGCTGGAGCTGAGGCTGGATCTGGGGGCTGGAGCTGGGGGCTGGAGGTGGGGCGAGCCGGGGCTCGGGGGTCCCAGAGCCGGGGGAGTCTGGCCGAGCCCCGCGGGTTCCGGCTGTCAGGGCGGCGGGGCCCGAAGGGGACACAGCGGTGGGTCCGGGCATGGATCGCCGGCGGCTTTTTCGGCTTTTTGCTGCCAGCCGTGTGCCATCGACGCCTCGTTCCGCCTCTGGGACCCTCGGGGAGAGGCCGAGGGGTCGCCGTGCACAGGTCGGGTCACCCCAGAGCCCGGCAGCGCAGTTCGGCTGCCCTGGGTGACAGTAACAATGTCACACCGAGCCCTCCGCTGGCAGGAGGAATTTGAAAGGGAAATCGTGAGGTAGGTCGTCTCTTGCACGAAGAAATGCAAACGTGCTACTCTTCAGTCCGCATTTCACGTAAAATAAGTATTCCAAGTAAATCATAGCCTTTACCATAGTGAAGCCTTGTCCATCGGATTAGGTTGTAATTGTGTCTAGGCACTCCTGCTTAACACAGAGAAACTGTTCCAAAGACCCTTTCCTAGAAGCTTAAGCGACTACAATGCAGCTCTCCTGTTTTTGGTGGACATATTAAACCAGTAATGTTAAATTTTAAAGGTATTACAAGCTCAAAGTGGGGCTATGCTGCCGATTTTCTCCTCCACCACATTTATTATTTTTAACGTCTCTCAAAAATAATTTGTATTTTAATTCTCAGCTGTAGATGAACAGTATTATCATTCAGGTCAGTCATTTCAACTCCTGATTTTCAACAGAGCATTGTCACTACAAAACCGTAGCCTCCAGTTACTGAGATTTTAGATGAGTCTGCAATAGATGGCAACTTTGTTTTGCTTCAGTCCTAGACTGGGAATGGAACAAAGTATTCATCTGCCTGAAGTTTAACCTCAGTATTTTCACCAAATGCTAAAGCATAAACAAGCACTTTTAAATATATATGGAGAGGGTAATATTTTGGGGTTTATTTGCTCTCAGTGGCATAAATCCCAGTTTAACTAGGCTCCTTTCAGACAAGCTGAACAAAGCTGATGGAGTTTACCAAGAGATTAAGGGTTATATTCATTAAAGGCCATGGGTACCACAGTTAAACTTGAATCTTTAAGCTCCTGCAAAGCTCCCTGCCCACAGTGGAGATTAGCATGTTTTTGAGGAATGCTTCTGCATTTTGCCTTGCTCTCACTGCAGTTTGTACTTCATACAGTCACTCAAACCTGATGGAATCATCCCCTCCCCTCTCCTCCCCTCCCCTCCCCTCCTTTTTGTTAACTTGTAAAATATAAAGTGGAAGTTGTCACAATTTTAAAAAGTTAAATGATACAAAAAACAGCAACTTGCTCGATTTTCTTCTGGTAACTGCAGCAGACTGGTAAAGTATTACTAGCTGGTAAAAAACTACTGGTTTTGTAATGATAAACTTTTAATTGAAGAAAGCAGCTGATCCTGTATGCATTTAGTAATATTGCAAAACCACCCATGGTAAAACCTTAAACCATCTGCAGTGAAGAACTCAAGTGTCAAGAAGTAGAACTGGCAACTTCAAGAAGAAATAACAGTTATTTGTGTACTATGACTTAAGAAATTTTATTCATACATGAATTTTTACAGATTAAATGAAAAGTTATTTAACAATGATCAAAGCTGCCTGGTGACAAGTTTCTATACGTCTTTGTCACTCTGTTTTGATAAATTTAGCAGGTTTCCCATACTTTTACAGTCACAGCAGTGATTGATGCAGATGAAAGCACCTCCAGCTTGGGAGATGGAAAGCATTATTTTCTTTCACATTATTCTTTGTTTGGGTGAATCTTAGAATACTGGGAATCATTTCTACTTTGTCTGTATTAATGGAATTTATCACATAGTGATGCATCACTTATGAATAACTTTGCAGAAAATAATATTTACTTATACATTAAATTCTGTAGAGCACAAAATCACGTTTAGTGAATACTTTGATAAATAGCTTGGTTATTCTTTTCAGAGTAACATTCTGTGCTGCAGACTACTCTTCATATAAATACATATTTTTAAAGGATGTCTTACTCCTAATAGCTTTGCTGTGCAATGTAGCTATACTTTTAAATTATTGCTTAGTATTGCATCTGATAAGTGAATAATAGATTGTCTTGTCCTTACTGCTGTGGACTTCTGAGGTTTGAATAGGTAGAGTATTCTGCAAGCTAAAACTCATCTGTTCCTAGCCTGTTTCCTAAATCATACCATTTCTTTTCTTGGAAAAAAAAATCCCAACCTACCTCTGCAGAGTCTAGCAGATCTTCTGCTGTTGTCAGGAAAATTAATCCACAGACACCAGAGGTTTATGTCCAAAAAAGGAGACAGAGAAGTACTTTTACTTTATTCAAATAAAGGGAGAGGCCATGGGGCATTTCCCTGGGGTCTCTCAAATTTTTGGAGGGTGCAGCCTCCTTTTTATCCCAATTTCCTGGCCACTTGTCCCTCTCTCTTTCCCCATTAGCTGAGCTATTTGAGAGGTACAGACTTCCTGGAATGCCTGATACCTAATATTCCCCTCTAATGTATAACCCTCCTTCTTCATTTTTAGTTATTATGCAATTTATTGTTTTTCCCCATTGTTTCTTTCATCTTTCAATATACAATTTAATTTATCAGCAAACCTACAGTTTGTTTATAAAGGCAAATATCTTTTTTCCATTCATCAATCAGTGGAATCCTTTCCATTGTTTCTTTCATCTCCCAGTGCTAGTTTTATTTACCAGCAGACCCACAGCTTCTTTGTAAAGACAAATCTGTCATTCCTCTCACTGTGATTTTTAGTAACCCTCCTTTTCTGTCTGTCCATTTGCTACCCCCTTCACTGAGTGCAGATTTTTGTTTCCACCTTTAAGGCCTGGATGCCTTCTAGAGCATGTCCTGCCATCTGTCCTGTGCTGTCAGCTTCTGCTCCCTTGATTCCTGGGCACCAAACACCCACCAGCGCAATTTGCCACAGGTTGTTTTTGTGCACACTTCAAATCCCCCTAAAAAAATAATCGGAAACTCTCTGCAGCATCCGCTGAGTCTTCATGCACAGCACACCTGGCAAAAGCCAGCTGGGGCACCAGAGGCTGTGAACACACTGGGTGCTGAGAGGAAAGATGTGTGCTAACGTCTTCACAACCAATTTGATGGGGGAAGGTTTGGGTGTTAAGGTCTCTGCAAACTTTGGGCAGCAGGTTTGTTACAGAGCACACACAGCTTGGCTCCTGAGATAAACAGAGCTCTGCACAAGGCTGGTCATCTGAACTCTGGGGTGAAATGCCAGGTTCAAGGGGGGATAATGGGGTAGGAGGTTCGGGAAGGCTGCACTTTCCTGGTACCTCAGCAATGGGGAAAGGAAGGGGCAACGTGCGCCTGGGGGTTTGGTATTAAACAGAGACTGGGATAAAAGGGACCCTCAGAGAGCCCGAGAGAGAAAAACCCGCGGGTATGTGCCCCGGTGGACTCTCTCCCGTTATTCGGATGAAGCTGAAGGACTCCTCTGTCTCCTTTTTTGGACCTAAACCTTTGGCATTTTGGATTTTCCTGCCAGTCCCCGAGGGTGACTCCAACAAGGGGTCTCTGGAGGCCGGGCCGAGGCAGCGCCCAGGTCCACCCGGAGCTCCCCCGGCAAAGCCGCGGCCGGAGCCGCCAGCTCTGGGGCGAATCCCCGGAGCGGAGCTGGCAGGCGCTGACCGTGACGGGGCGCTGTCACCCCGATCGCTGCGAACCGCCGCCCCGGGACGATCCAGCCGCCCCCCAGGCCACGGCAGCTCGGAGGAGGGAGGCAGCGAGGGAGGCGTGCGTGGAGCGGCTCTGAG